GCGAACAGGGATGAATGGAAGAGAAAAAATATTACGCCGACCACAAATAAATGGAATTAGGAAGAAGCGGATTCATCATCTGCTTCTTCCTAATTCTTGCCTCAAAAAAGCTTGGTGTGCTCAGTAGAGCACACCAAGCTTTTTTGAGGCTATACCGTCTCACTCTACTGAGTGAGACGGTATTTCACGGCGGCGCAGTTCCGGCCGCACATGGAATACTGTTCTCATCTCTGGGTGGGAGCACCACAATACCAGCTACTTCCATTTGACCGCATTCAGAACCGAGCAGCCAGAATCCATTGGTAATCAACGTCTATGTGACAGACTCGACCCATTGGCTTTGCGGCGAGATATTGCATCTCTGTGCATTTTCTACCGCATATATCACGGGGAGTGTTCTAAAGAATTAATACCAGCTGCAGAGTTTCACCACCGTACCACCCGCCAGAAACTGAAATACCATCCTGATCATCTGAATGAATGGCGGTCTTCCACAGTGCGGTTTTCTAGAAACTTTTTGTCACGCACAACCACATTGTGGAATCACCTTCCAGCAATGGTATTTTCGAACCGATACGATATTGAAACCTTAAGAAAAGAGCTTATTCCTTTTTAAAAGGCCGACAACATACTTGAAATTCCCCTGGTGTTGCGGGTGCTCATGGCCGGCGGTAATCACTTACCATCAGGTGAGCCGCATGCTCGTACGTCCCCTGTGTTATAAAAAAATGAAAACGACGTGACCAGAGCCGGTCACACCGTACTATATATAAAACAAAAAATAATTAGTATAAAGAAATTACCATTTCTATTGATGAAAATGCACTCGTGATAACAATATCTATGTGAAATGATTACAGCCATTAGTTATATCTATCACATATTACTTAAATCATTATTTAATGATAATAAGTACAATTTCATATACTAAACTATGCATCTTGTGGTTTCGTTTTATCTAACAAATTGTTTAACATTAACTGCATGATTGTTTATGACTGTTGCATGACTGTTGTATGACTGTTATGACTGTGCTATTGTTATACAGCCTCGGTGGTTTAGCGGTTTAGGATGCCGCTTCATATCAGATGGTCGGTTTCGATTCCTCGCACGGCGCAAAAATTTGTATTCATGATTATTATTGTTTGCATCATTCTCAGCGTTTTCTATGTAGCGGTTTAGCACACCGCTTTCCTTCTGATGGTCGCAGGTTCGATTCCTCGCACGGTACATTTATTTGTATTCATGAGTATGATTGTTTGTGTCGGTCTGAGCGTTTTTTATTTGTATTATGTATGTATTTACAAAATGCAACTAAGTACTTAAAATACTAAGTAAAAAACATTAAAGTACTAACTATTATTATTTATTTTTTATTTCTCTTCTTTTCTCTTATTTAAAAGAAAGCTAAGTGTGGGAGAGGTATGTGAAGATGTTATTATTGTCAAAATCAGAAATTTTCTTGTTATGCGACAAGTGTTTAGTAATATGGCTTTTAGTAAGAGATATTTATTATAATTATCTATACATATAAATAAAATAACTACACTACACCGAAATAACATTTTCTACAGTTTTTGTCTGTCTGTCTGTTTGTTCCGGCTAATCTCTGAAATGGCTAGACCGATTTTGACGGGACTTCTTTTGGCATGTAGCTGATGTAATAAGAAGTAACTTAGGCTACTGTTATTTTAGAAAAATAAAGTTAAGTTCCACGCAGACGAAGTCGCGGTTGCAGCTAGTTATTATATAAAAGTCCATAGTGTAAATAAATAAAATAAAACAGGAAACAAGGCAGAAATTACCTGAGGATGAGGATGTACTCAATTATAAAAACCACTAGTTAGCAATAATTTACTTCCCAAACGACAGTGACGTCAACATTTACAATTTTTTCTATATCTTTACGTCAGCAATATAAATGTATAATAATAATGCATTATATATAAACATTTAATAATAATACATTATAATAATATGTAGTCCATTATATATAATAGTCCATAATAACAAAATCATTGCCACAATTGTGCGGTAAGTTGGAATACGATGTTATCAAAATAATGGTGAGAATTTGAAGAGTTGAAAACCGTTTTGTTTAGGACCTTTTTTGTATATATTTTGTATAAAACTATCAACACACGGACGGGTATGAGATGGCGAGAGTTGCCAGTATAAAACAAAAAAAAAAAACATATATATATATATTCTAGCTGTCCCAGCAAACGTTGTTTTGCCATATAAATTAATAACGCTATAAAAAATAGGGGTTGATGATAGAAGGGTGAAAATTTAGGATTGTATGTATTTTTGTATGTTGTATCATAAAAAAATAGAAACTAAAAATTTTGTCTAAAAAATAAAAAAAAAAATTAGGGGTGGACTACCCCTAACATTTTGGGGGATGAAAAATATATGTTGGCCGATTCTCAGACCTACTCAATACGCTCACAAAATTTCATGAGAATCGATCAAGCCGTTTCGGAGGAATATGGGAACGAAAACTGTGACGCGAGAATTTTATATATAAGATATATATTTGTATATGATAATGAAATAGTACCACCTGCGCTAGCGGTTTACGCTAGTGGTACCAGTTGAGGATGATAATATGACCATGAGGTCAGGTCAGTTAGCCCATTGTGATAAATGCACCTGGAACTTATCACGATGGTTTCTAGGGGGAACCGCGTGGAGGTCAACCTACATGGTACATTATTAGCAATGAGGTCAAGAATCCACATTACTAACAACCCCCTTTTCGCACCGACTTTCCGGGATTTGTGACACGCGTGTTGCATTCCATGATGAAATTGTTAGCATTATAAAATTACCAGAGAGGGAATTTCTGTACAGTTCCCAAGATTTGTGACAGCGTGTTGCATTCTGTGACGAAATTGTTAGCATTCTAAAATTACCAGAGAGGCAAATTCTGTACAGTTCCCAAGATTTGTGACAGCGTGTTGCATTCTGTGACGAATTTGTTAGCATTCTAAAATTACCAGAGAGGAAAATTCCGGACAGTTCCCGGAATTTTTTTTAAATAGTGCACCCGGCTGCGTTAACGGTTTTCGCTGGCGGGGCATCAGTGGAGGTTGATAAGACGAGCATGAGGTCAGGTCAATTAGCCCATCGTGACAAATTCACCAAGAATTTATCACGATGGGATCCAGGGGGAACGTGTAGGTCAACCTGACATGGTACATTAATAAGTTCCACGTGAATTTATCAAATTCAACTGGAACATATCACGATGGTTTCCAGATGGTACCGTATAGAGGGAATTTTGACATGGTACATTGCTAGCAATGGGGTCAAGAATCCACATTACTGACAATATCCTTTCTCCGACTACATATATAATGATGTTATCTAAAAGTGTCTAGTATATCAGTTTGGTCTAATGTCAGTATTTTTTTATGACGACCTCGGTGGTCTAGCGGTCTAGCACACCGCTTTACGTCCGATGGTCGCGGGTTCGATTCCTCGCACGACGCAAACATTTGTATTCACGAGTATGATTGCTTGTATCGGTCTGGGTGTTTTCTATGTATGTATTTACAAAAAAAAAATATCTATGTATTTGTATCAGTTGTCTAGTACCCATAACACAAGCTTTAGCTAGCTTAACTTGGGACTAGATGGCGCTGTGTAAATTGTCCTGGGATTATTAGTCGAGACCCTTGGTCCGTGGGGTCCTAGCGCTATAAGACTTTTCAAAGAAATAACGAAAAGATTAGTCGACATCACAGAAGACCGAAGAGCTGGCAGCTACCTTCGACAAAGAATTAGTCTAGCTATTCAAAGAGGGAACGCTGCCAGTATCTTCGGAACGTTGCCTAAAGGGACCCTTTTTAATAATATATTTTAGTCATCATATTATATTTTTTTTAAGCTTTTTAATTTTAGGTTCTTAGTTGTACAATTAGGTTATGTAAATACTAACAATAAATTTTAAAATATATATTTATATTTTTAATTAATGTTCGTGTTTCTATTACGAAACATGTCAACCCTTTCATACCGACCCTAAATATCACAAATAAAAAAAAATTCAAAAGTTTTATCTGATATTATTTAATATTTTAACTCAAAAACCAAAGTCGTTGGTTTTAAATAGTTTGGTTGTCTTTATATCACTAGATTAAACCACAAAATATAGGTAAATTAGAATATATAAATTCAAATTCAAATTCAAATTCAAAAATCATTTATTCATGTAGGACATTTTAGCCGCTTATGAACGTCAAATTTTTACATTATAATTTTATTTTTTCCCTACCGTCCAGTTCGGTATATAGATCCAATTGAGAAGAACTGGCAAGAAACTCAATTGAATTACTTTTTTTTTTTTAAAGCCAGTTTATTTACAATGTATTTTTATAGAGGTGTCTATGTCTAACATTAAATGAAAATTCAGTGCATGAACAACTATTGCCATGCACGCTCGTCATTCAAGTAATCGTTTAGTGAGTAATACTGTGCTCAGCAAATATAATTTAACAGATGTTTTGAATTTATTTAAGAGTAATTCCAACATATCCTTTGGTATCTTATTGTAAATTTTTATACCTATTCCCATAAAAGACCTATTAACTTTTCTAAACGATACTTGGGGACAGCAAGTTTGTCTTTAAATCTAGTATTAATATTATGAATATTGCTGTTTTTTGGAAATAAGTCAAGATTTTTATGAACATATAGGATATTTCAATATATAAATTGAGAAGCAACGGTGAGAATATTTGCCTCTTTGAATTTCTCTCACGAGTCACGACTCTTCATACAGTAGATCGCTCGAAGTTACTTATCTTTAATTTTATAAAGCATACTTTAGAAATTATTTATATCCCATTTCATCTCCATAGTTAACACTCTATGTTCTTAATCAAGCTAGCTTCTTAAACAATCTATGTATTAAAGCTTATCGAAATTGGTTCAGAGTGTAATAAAATAGTAGTTGACAGTCAGTTATAAATAATCAATTTTGCTCTTTACAGATTCAAAATGCATTCCGGTCTGTTGGCGTGGGAGTGTATAGTGTTTGCTGTATTTATCTGTGCTTCATCTTGTGTGCCTCTGTGGAAGAGACGCAGGGACACTAAAGATGCTGGAGGGAACGCCAAACAGGCGTATATCTTTGCTGGCGGCGGTGTATCTTTATTGGTGATGATACTGTCTGTTGCGAGAGGAACTCTTGGGGTCCGATCGTTTTTGGGTGAGTTCTTTTTATATCTGTTAAATAATAATAATATATATTTATTGCCAGAACAAAAGACACATGTACATTGTACATACATTTGAGTTGATATTGATACACTGTTTGTAAATCAGAGATTAAATATAAACTACATATAAAACAGAAACAATAGTACCTTGCACTGCATATTCTAGGCAAAAGGAGCTGACTCAGCTAATACTGTTAGCGTGTTTTTATTCAGTAAGACTATAAACAAATAATGACGACCTCGGTGGTCTAGTGATTTAGCACACCGCTTTACGTCCGATGGTCGCGGGTTCGATTCCTCGCACGGCACAAACATTTATATTTATGAGTATAATTGTTTGTGTCGGTCTGGGTGTTTTCTATGTATAATATGTATGTATTTACGAAAAAAAATATATCTATGTATTTGTATCAGTCCTCTAGTACCCATAACACAAGCTTTAGCTAGCTTAACTTGGGTCTAGATGGCGCTGTGTGAATTGTCTTTAGATTATTATTATAAATAATAGTAAAAGCAAACAATGTTAATCTATTCTCAATTTGGCCACAGACTATAACAAACAAAAGACTATATATGCGCGTGTATGTAATATTTCTTTTGTATTTAATGTAATTTTATGCATAATTAAAAAAAATATTCTACAATTCTTCTCTATATATATAACCATAAGTGAGTGAAATTTCATACTTCTTTATGCGCGCAATTTTCGTAATATGTACAAAATTTCTGTTTTAGACTTTTTTTTTTGTAATTCCATACATAATATGCATAGAAAACCCGCAGATCAATACAAAATCATACTCATGAATACAAATGTTTGGATCGTGCAAAGAACGACCTCAAAAGAAATATACTTAATTGTAACAGTCGATGTATTTTTTTTTACCGTTCGGAAATATGCTGGTGAATCTTGGCTTTGCGCGTATCATTTAGTCAGTATAAGGAAAAATAATTAATATAACCACCAAACTAGGTGTTGTACACATGATAAGGCTGGTATTGTTAATTAATCATGTATTTATTAATAACTATGAAGAAATCATACTAATTCTGGACAATTCACACAGCGCCATCTAGTCCCAAGCTAAGCAGAGCTTGTGTTATGGGTACTAAACAACTGATGCATATACTAAAATATTTTTTTCGTAATTAGGAGGAAGGGGCGGTGAAAGGATGAGGATCTGTCAGGCGGGAGTTGGCCTTCAGCCACTTCATAAGTCCTTCCGCGGGTTTTGAGTGCCATCAGCACTCGCCCACCGTCCGGTGAAGCTGTAAAGGCCAGCTGCGGCCAACAGCATTAGAGTAGTCCGAAAAAAAAATTTACAGTATTCATTGGTGTAGCGCCTTACTACTAATGATTGTGGGTTCGATTCCTCGCACAATGCAAACATTTGTTATGAATATGATGATTGGTTTCTATGTTTTCTATGTATATTTGTGTATAAAAAATATTTCTATCTGTCGTCCAGTGCCTATATCACAAAATTTGCTTGGGAGCTGTGTGAATTATCCAAAACGATTACAACTTACCATCAGGCGGGTCGTAAGACAGAGGTATCAACACAGATGACTCTATACAAGGTCTTCCTCGTTAGATGTGATAGGATTTATTTACTTTCGCCAATACTATCGCTGGAATTCGGCTCATTAAACCCGTTTCGTTACACGCTAGTACGTTATATAAGTGCATTCCATTACACGTCTTTTTATTGCATAATTGCGTGTAACGGAACATTGTAAATTTAACGTAAGTATAAATTAATGCGACGATATAAGTGATCTAATAGTTTACACATTTTGCCTTACTTTCCGTTGGTCGCGGATTCGATGCTCATAATGCCATAGGGCCACATTATTAGGCACATTGATTTAAAAAGAAAAAGTATAAGCCATCACATTTAAAATAAGTATTGTTGCTAAGTAACAGTTTGTATGTAACGTACATCTGCGATCGGAACGAAAGTAAATTATATTTACTGCTATATATGTAATCCACTCAATATCTCTATGATCCAACCGATATATCCAACCGATAGGTCCAACAGTAATTATTAGTATTTTAGCAGATTTAATTTTGGATATGTTTTGCTACTATTGTTCTATTGTTTACTCTTCTGTATATTGTTTTATATTATGTATGTTATTTAAATGTAGAGATGTACAATGTATTAAATGTAATGGATTAAGGAACTAAGGGATTGATTTAAAAAGAAAAAGTATAATCCATCACATTTAAAATAAGTATTGTTGCTAAGTAACAGTTTGTATGTAACGTGCAACTACGGTCGGAACGAAGTAAATTATATTTAGAACTATATATGTAATCCACTCAATATCTCTATCACACATGACGCAAACTGTGAATTTTACAGGAGAACTCATCAACATTTTCACTGTAATATTTTTATTTTTTTTATGAATCTATAATTGGTATACCTATGTGTTAGATCTAGAATCATGGATGTCTTTTTTTAATATAAAAATCATAACCATTTAGCTACCATTTTTGGAAAAAAAGTGATATCAGTTTTTTTTTTTGCGTTGTGGCTATTTGGCATTTAATGAGATATATTACAAACATTTACGACGCCCTTGATGGTCTAGCGGTTTAGCATACCGCTTTACTTCCATGATTGTGGGTTCGATTGTTCGCATGGTGCTTTTTGTATTCGTGAGGTTGTGGGGATGTATTATATATATATATTCGATTGTTCGCATGGTGCTATTTGTATTCGTGAGTATGATTGTATCGGTCTGGTCTAGAATATAATGGAATTTTTCCTCTTCCGCGCAAAATAAATTTTTGCTTCATGTATTTATATTATGAGTATAGATATATATGTATATATATACATATATTATATACTGGACCCGCGACTTCGTCCGCGTGGAATTTAATTTAATTTTTCTAGAATAAAAGAATTTTTAAAAAAAAAATGTTGCCTAAGTTACTCCCTATTACTTCAGCTCCAAAAAAACGTCCCGTTAAAATCGGTCCAGCCATTTCAGAGATTAGCCGGAACAAACAGACCGACAAACAGACAAAAATTTTAAAAAGTGGTTTTTTGGTGTATGAACCGTATTTATATTCATATGCATGTAGTAAAAAACGGTTATTTCAATATTACAAACAGGCACTCCAATTTTATTTATATGTATAGAGTATAGATATAGATATACAGTCATTCATATCCCCACCCATGAGTGACGATTTTATATATGTAGTGTCAAGGAAACTGACATCGATCAAGCATTATCATATGATATATCTTACATTATTTCAGTCTGGTGACTCATTTGAAGTAGGTAGACAATCAAACTGGATGCTACTGCCTTACAACTAGATAGCATGCTATTTATAGTGTATTAACCGGTGCTACCACATTTCTACAAGTTGAGAATGTATACGGTTTTCTAGAAATGACCTAGGCTAAGGCGAAGCCTTTGAGATTACAAATATAAATTTACAGGTACTTGTTTGTACTTGTAATGTAACATCTAAATATATATAACTCAAAGGTGACTGACATAGTGATCTATTAACGCACAGCCCAAACCACTGGACGGAGCGGGTTGAAATTTGGCATGCAGGTAGATGTTATGACGTAGGCATCCGCTAAGAAAGGATTTTGATTACTTCCGCCCCCAAAGGGATAAAATAGGGGATGAAAGTTTATATGAAACTTTGTCAATTTTAAACCGATCGAGCTGAGACTTAAAGGTACTATGACGTAGACATCCCCTAAGAAAGGATTTTGATAAATTCCACCCCTAAGGGGATAAATTAACGCGAGCGAAGCCACGGGCAAAAGCTAGTTTTTTATATGACGGCCTCATTGGTGTAGCGATTTAGCACGTCGATAGTCGCGAGTTCGATTCCTAGTACGATACAAATATTTGTATTCATCAGTATGATTGTTGGTGTCGGTCTGGGTGTTTTTTATATATATTATGTATGTATTTATAAAAAAAAAAACTTATCAGATGTTCAGTACCAATATTATATGTTTTGCTTAGTTTGAGATTATATGACGTGTGAATTATCCGGGGTTTTATTACTATTATATGTAAAATCTGACAGATAATATAAATATGTGTTAGGTTTTAGTTCAATGTATTTCTAATTATATATAATAAGTATGTATTTACAAAAAAAAAAAATATCTATGCATATGTTCAGTTATCTAGTACACATAACACAAGCTTTAGCTGACTTAACTTGGGTCTAGATGGCGCTGTGTGAATTATTATTTTTAATTAAAAAAAAACTAATTTAACAATATGAAACGTATGTTTCAATACAGTATATTAATCAAGTATTTATATACATACATATAGCAATATACATTTATATAGTTACTTCATGCTGTTCTTCAAACTTTATTGTTCACCACATTGGATTTGAAAATTATTTAAAAGAGCAACACGCAAGTTTCTTGCTCGTTCTTCATGTGATGAGACAGCTTTCCGAATGAGCGGTAGATTAAAAAAAATGTGATGACTATTCAAAAGTGCTTAAATGTAAGTTTATTTGAATAACTGATTTTCTATTCTATTCTATTCTAGATTGCTCTACATTTTTCTATCAAGGCTCTATGTGTTTAAATATACAGTATTTATTATGTTATTACATTTCTAAATGTTCCATCATTATGTTGCCATATAATTTGATACCTTATTTTCTATCTCGTAGCGACTGAATTTCATTAAAAGAGTTTATAAACATATAAAAACTCTTTTAAATCTCTGTTAAGACATATCGCAAATATATAATTTTCACTAAACTTCTGTTGAATTAATATTGGAATTTTTTTATTAGTAATATTTGTGTATTCTTGACATTTTCTTGTACACACTGATATCATTTTAAATAAACAATGTAGTACGAAATGATATCATTAGCTTGGTTGTACAATATTTGTAATATTAACACATTATTATGCAAATGATTGTAATGATATGTATGTACGAGTATGTATGTATCTAACGG